CGGTTCCATACAAAGCTTAGGATGGCTTTCTGCACTTTTGTGAAGGATGCTGTTGGAATTGGGATTGGAGTTGCCGTGTGTACGAATTTTGGAATTACGACTTTTTTTTTTTTTTTGGAAACCAGGGCTTGAACTCAGGCCCTTGCACTTGCCAGGGAAGCGCTTATTCCACTGAGCCATCTCCCCGGCCCCCCCCCCCTTTTTTTTTTTGACTATGTTGGTTTTGCCTCTTCAGGAACGGGGGATATCTTTCCATTTCTGATGTCCTCTTAGATTTCTTCTTCTGTGGTACTGTAGTTTTTTTATTTTTCTTGAAGAGATCTTTCACTTCCTTAGTTAATTGCTCAGTATTTACTTTCTCTTGGTGGTACTGTGACTCATGTCCCCCCGCCATATCTTTCTAGTGTACAGGATATGCTATTGAATTGTGTGTGCTGATTTTATGCCCTGCTACTTTACTGAATTTGGTGTTAATTCTAAAAGTCTTTTGATAGGTGTCTTAGTTAGTTAGATAGGTGTCTTCTCTCATTGCTGGGACAAATACCTGACACTCAAACTTAGGGAAGGAAAGGTTTATCCAGCTCATAGTTACTGGAGGTTTCACAGCTTAAAGCAGCCTCAATTATGTAGGGTGACCCTGGAGCCTTATTTGCTCGGGAGAGAGCGTCATTGCCTCTGTCTTCTCCAAACATTTCCTCCCTGCCCGAGGCGGCCTCAATCACAGACCCCGCAGCCCCATGCTGCAGGGTCTGGAGGAGAGGCTGGGGCGCTACTGTGAGAAGTGCTTGGTGACTCTGAACCTGGCCCCGGTGCGGGCTGGGACTTCGGAGAGACTCTTCTGCTTCACCAGGGGACTCTGGGGGTGCTCAGCAAGGCCAGTGTGCATGAGGACGCTTCTCCTCGGCCAAGCCCTCCCCAGCTCCTGTGACCACTTCAGCAGGCCTGGAGAAAGGGTGCTGGGCCCTGTCGCCTGGCTTTTCTGTCTCTGGTGTGACCACAACTTTCAGTGAGAGAAAGGACAGAGTGAAGAGGAGGTGAGGCAGGAAACGGGTGTGACTGAGGCAGGATGTGTTTTTTCTATGCACAAGTGAATCGCCAATAATCATTTTGCTGGTGATTTCTTGAGAATCTAAGGGATTATGAGAAATAAACCCTTTCATGGTGTGACATGTGCATTGCAACTGTGTCTTCATCCCCTGGCAAGCTTGATCCACAGTATTTATTATTTTTGGCATAGCAGTAGAGGACACTCTATGTATGGTCTTCTTAGAGAGAAGTAACAAAGGAAGGTCAATTTGAAACCAAGGGGAAGAAACGAAGACAGCAGCAGAAGTCAGAAGTTTTACAAATCAAATTGCAAATCCCAGAGAAGAGGCCTGAGCGTGTGCCTCTGACGGCCATGACAGGCTCTTTTTTTTTAAATTTTTTATTTATTTATGTGTGTGTGTGTGTGTGTGTGTGTGTGGCCAGCTCAGCCCACCAGGGGGCGGGGCTGGCTGGCATGTGGTGCTGGGGGATTGAACCGCGGTCCCTGTGCTTTGCTAAGCTTGTTCTAAGTAGGTGCTTTAGACCACTGAGCCATCTCACCAGCCCCCCCATGACAGGCTCTTAAACTGTTCTCTGACCTCCGTTCTAAGTGGAACGTCTTTCGCCATGACGTGAATATTTGCAAACCAGAGGACAGATTTTTTTTATTTTTTGCGGAACCAGGGACTGAACTCAGGCCCTTGCGCTTGCCAGGGAAGCGTTTGTTCTACTGAGCCATCTCCCCGGCCCCAGAGGGCAGATTATGGCTGGCTGAATCAATGTGCCTTCAAAAATAACCATGTTCAAAATGCCCAGAAACTGTGAGCGCTGCCTTACACAGCAGAGTGGGGTGTGAAGACGTGGTTCAGGGAGGAATCTTGAGGTGCCGAGATTACTGAGTGTGTGTGGGGGAGTCCTAAAGGTAATCACAGAAATCTTGACAAGAGAGAAGAGTTCAAAAGAGGAAGAAGGCAGCGTGATGGCAGTAGCCAAGGAAGGAGCACCGGCGGCCTCCAGAAGGGGGAGGTGGAGGGCCGACTGTCCTGTGGAGCATCCGGCGTGCACAGCTTTACCACCATCTTGACTTGATTCTCTTCAGGCTTATTTCGGACTTCCAGAATTGCAAGAGAATAAATTTGTGTGGTTTTGTCCTCTACTTTTCTGGCACTTTGTTATAGAAAGCAACAGGAGCTAGATGGACTAAGTCTATTTGTGTAAGAGCCAAGACAGTGTGAGGAAATACTCCTTTTATTATTTCTGCAATGTCTTAGTAAGTTAGGTTTCACACTGGCCTTGCACCCAGCAGCAGAGAAAGTGCTGAGCTTTTGGGTGCATCTTTGCTGGGGTAGTTATACACATTTTCAAGTTTAGAGGAACAATGTAGAAAACAGACTGAGCCATGGGGTCATTAGCAGAATTCTCAGCTTTCTTTTCTTTCTTTTTGTCACCCAGTTGTTTAGGCCCTCTTGGCTTCATGCCTCAGTGCTGTTAATTTGTGAATGAATAACCTGAGACCTTCCTGAAAGACTAAACAAAAAATTCCTGTTGTATAATCACCACGAAGCCCCTGCAGGCTCGACAGTTGGAAATATCAAAAAAAGACCTGCTTTCCTTTGATCCCAGGTAACCCACCAGGCTCCCACTCTGCTTGTATCATTTTAAGACTTTCAAAATCCAGCCCTGTACCCTGAAAAAAAAAATACAGCTTTGAAAGTTTTAGTTTTGCAGCAATCAGGTAAATAAAAAATTTCAACTTGGTACAATTGAAGCATTCACTCACCTATAGAACAATATTTTTTGTTTAAGAACCTGTTTCTTTTGATTTTTCTGTGTTTT